CATTGAATTTTTCATTAAGCCCCCCCTTCGTCGAAGGTCTGGGGCCCAGCCCCGAAAAAAACCAAAGACTTTTTACATGGATTTTGCAAAGTTTGCAATGAAAACCAGCCATTACTCATTAATCTTTCAAATTTTTGCGTGCTTTGAGATCGGCTTCAAAGTTGCTGGATAAAGCTATCCCGCAGCTTTTTCAGACATGCATTAGCCAGCAAAGCGGCAGTCTTTTGAAAGCCCAGTTTCTGGCGTCATCAATGGCCATAGCACTTAACTGTCACCCCTCAAGAGCCCGGTAAGCGAATACACACAAGTCGAAGAGCTTAAAGAAAGCGTTGCAGCTTTTCTAGCTTAGCCAGGTGACTGAAGCTAAAGTTCTTGCAACCTGCGCAGACACCACCTGTGTTCTGGTAGATCGAGATCCGATGCCGCTTTGTTCAGCGTCGCGGGTTCTTAGTCAATGATGTCGCGTGGCTTGAAAGCACAGTGCCTTACTTAGAATCGACTGGCCATGCAATTGTGTTCAATCGCGCGGCTCTGCAGAAAACATACAAAGCGTGTTGGACCCTGTTGCACATAGTTTATCTTGCCGGAGTTTGGGTTGCTTTTAACCACAACTCGAACTCCAAGGTGTCAGTTCTCCCTCTTCGAGCAAGATTGTAACAATGCTTGGGAAACTTGAAAGCGCAGCTGCTGTTCAAATCTATTTGGAAGATGCTGGAGTTGGCAGCTTTCTGCGTTATGGAAACCGCTACTCTTACGTAAAACAAAGACTTTGTCCAAACATTGTGCTTGGTTTGATTTCCAAAGCATCTTGCTGGCCCGAAGCTTCCGCGAGCAGCACTAGAAGAACGTGTGCTGGGCTTGGTGCCACCTCAAGGCGCCAACAAAGCTCTTGCAGTTTTCGCTCTGTGCAGCGATGTGCACAATAACAAAAAATGTTAGCTTGCTTTCCAAAATCAGCAGATTTGGTTTGTTGATCTGCAGAGTGTTGCTGCCGTGAATCGGTTTACCGGTCCGTGTGGAACTTGCAGGAGCGACTGTGTTTTTCAGACTTGGTGCAGTGTCTCCTTCTCTCACAAGGCCGCCTGCACAATGGAGGACTTGCTGTGGACTTTGGTATGCACGATGTCCGACGGAACCAGTCTGAGCCGTCTGAAGCAGCGGGCGGCTTTATCGTTTCTGCATGTGGCTGAGAGCCGCTTGTTTTGAGCTTTTGAACGGACAAGCTTCGTAGTTTTGCAGCAGCTTGATTTGCTCCTTGTCTCACCGCTGCTTTGTGTGTGTTTTGTTTGCTTGTTGGCTTCGTGGGGACACCGAGTGCAGCTGACACTGTGATTGAGGTGCTGCATGTAACATTCGAGGTTTTCGGCTGCCTGGCACAAGCAGTGCTCAAAACTTGCCGTCGCGCCACTCCACTTTCACGGTCGCCAACAACACGGAAAGCAAGGGACGCATTGGAGTTCTTCCACCGTATGTTTCACAGGATGTGGTTCCAAGAGCAAGACAAGGTTTTGCAGTAACGGCCCGAAAATAGACCCTTTCATGGCCGTGCAACGTCCAGTTGAATTTGAAGTTGTGATGGGTGATTTCTTCCCAACCATGTTTTTGAAACGTTTACTGTTTGCGTGCTTGCATGACTTGTTTGAGTGTGCAACGTGCGTGTCAGGGCTGGGACGCTGGTTGCACAAAAACTTAAGGTTTTGGTCGTGCGATGTTCCACATCTGCCGCATCTTGGCTTCGATCAATGCAACAGGCTTGCTGGATGTTGTGGCCCTTGTCTTTTGGGCCAGTGCTGCATCCATGGAGGACTCATGATATATATATATATATATATACATATATATATATATATACATATATATATATATATATGTGTTTGCACTTCACGCAGCATAAATTGCAGAACCAGAGTAGTGTCGAGCTTTACTGCGTATCTGCTTGTGGTTGGCTGAGTCACGCAGTGCCAGGACGTGGATCCTTTCGCAGGAGTCCAGAGTGAACTCGTTGGCGGCGATGAGAAGACTCCGGCATACAAGGCACGGTTTCGGCCAAGTTCGTGTTATTGTTGACTTCCATCTTGGCATTTGGACAGCGCATCTAACTTGGCGGTTGGCCCAAGAGGAAGGAAGTCCCTTTTGCACCATGAAGCAGCAGCATCAAGTGGTCGTATTTGCCATTTCGGCTCGTTTTGAGCGCAACTTCGGTGAATATTGCAGATGCCCGGGATGAAAACTGCACGCCTTGTGCTGATCTTATCTTGGGGCCGCTTCGCTAACTTCAAGATGCGAAGTAGTGTTTCGTTGAGTTAAGTTGAGTCCGAACACGTGACTTATCAGTAGTTGGCTTGCTGTCCAAGGATGCACTGCAACGAATACAGGCTGCGAGGACATGCAGTTGTGAACCCTAGTGGCAAACAGCCTGGTGCCGTCGCATCACAAGTACTGCAATTGCGAGCTGCAGGATACTGAATCGAGCCGATGTTCGAATCTACAGAAGGCCTGCCCAGAAAGGCTTTTGAAAATTTCAAGTTCAGCACTTGCCGGCTTGGCAGGCGCCTACGGTGACAAGGCCTCGTGGTGTTCGTTTGTGCTCCAGCTCTCGTTTCATTTCACGTGTAGTAAGCCTTAATGGTGCCTGAGGGATCATCTTCTTTTGCAGCTTGGCGCCAAGCCGAAGCCGTTGCATCCCGAGGCGTGTTGGGGAAAGTGCAGAGTTCCCAAATTTTCGAATTCGGCATGAGACAGGCGTGTCGCCGAATCACCAGTCGCAACCTGACTTTGCTCGTCTGCTCGCTGCGATGGCCAGGTGTCAACAAGGTCGCCTTCTTTACCCCCAGCTAACATGAGTCGTCCTAGCGCGACACTCAAGGCCTGCTAGCCACTTGCCTCTAGAGTTCTGTTTGCAGCGATGCTGTTGCAGGTTATGTCTTACAACCTTATGGGCTGGTCGTCCTTTAACGCGAACTCCTGGAAGGCCCCTGCTCCAAGCTCCCCGAATTTCCCGAAACATTCGCTTAGCTTGGTGCGCAAGTTTGCGCGAGGGCGAAAACGTCCTGGGCAAGATCAACTCCTGGGAGCCGGACCTGCTGGGCGTCCGGGGCTGAGTCGGAGAAATGGACACCCTTAGCCATAGAACTCGCAAAATCAAAAGGCAGGGGTCGTTCTAGCCGGGAGCTGCAAGCTCTGGTAAACCAGATGAAAAAGTTCCGTAAGCATTCCGCGTCCGAAGGCCCCAACGCACAGGACCCATGCTTTAATCAGTGTGGTGCCGTCAGGCACAGGAGGTTGAGAAGGGCGGCTGGGGCTACCAGGAGGTGGAGGAGAAGAAAACATGTGTTCCCAGTTGCAGTCAAGGCCCTTTGCGGTTGGAAGTTGGAACAGCTGTGAGTAGTTCTAAAGCGACCAAATTCCAGAGTCTAAAGGGGAACGGTGTGTGTGTGTGTGTGTGCGTGGGATTTTTTTGGACTAGCTATGCACCTTGCTGCCGACGGCTGTAGTTCACTCGGAGGAGCTGGTCGTGTCAACAACAGGATTGAACTTCGCAGGTGGCAGCTACTTGGAGACTGTTTATGTCGGTGTGTTGACCTGCTGCGTCCATGTTATGGTATGCGTATGCGTCCGTGCCAAGCATACGTTGCATAGCTTGAGCCCAGGTCAGTTCTTCAAGCCGTCGAAGCTGGAGAAGCTGGACGAAGAAGCTCTGATGATAACTGAGTCTTCTGTGCTACTGGCAGAACTCTTGAAGATAGCGATGACTCCTGGGTCTGCAATCACATAGAAATGCTCAAGGGTTTTCGTCATAATTGCTCTCGACCTTGCTGTGATTTGGCAGTTGCTGGGCCTGGGTGATGTCAAGGGGCGGAGCCAAGGACTGGACAGCCCTTGTTGGAGGGTATTGGATGTCAATGGCGGGCCACCAAGTTTTTTGCAGAAAAGGTTAGGCAAGTGGTCGCTTGTGTTTATCTTTCCAATGCAGATTGGAGCGAACCGCTGATTTATCTTGCAGGCCTTGTACAAGCACCTGGATACAGGAGCAGTGCGCGATGTGATGAACAGACGGCATGATGGCATGTAGTGTCGGTCAATCAAAGTGACAAGAACCATCGCGGCTTCTGTCAGATCTGTCAGGACGTGAAATTTTGTTTTATGACTCCCATTGGAAGCACGGGTATGGCTTGCAGCAGGTGGTGCTTGTACTTGGGCCATGGGTACCAACAGGGCCATTTCTAGAGGAGCTGCCCCTGCGCTGTTCCGAAAGGCGGAAACGATTGCGAACAAGATCGCAGCAGACAGGACGAAGCCTGGGCCTCAAGTTCTGTTGTGCGCCGCTGCCGACCCCTGACTATCTAATATCCAAGTAGACGACCTGCATTTCGGTATCCATCATGCCGACATCTCTGTTCAGAGCAAAGGGTCCTGCTTCTACAAGGAGACCTGTGGACCCACAAGACACCAAAAGAACGCACTCCCAAGGCACGGATCGCCACCAACGATTCTCGCAGGAAGCTGAACAACGTGACTCATGGTCTTGAGGGGTGGCAGGCGGACTCGTCAAGAAACTCTGGATGGTGTCAAGAATCAGGTGGGGGACACCAACCAATTCTGCGAGGCGGGACGGATCGCCACAAAGAAGTCGCATGGCAAAAAACACTTGCGTCAAGAAATGCTCCCTGGTTCAGGGCCCGAAGACCGAGGCCGGCCGAGCCGAGTGTGTCTGCGTTCTCCGCCCTGTCCCTGTCCGTCGCGAGGCCCTGCGGTATTTGAAAGGTGAGCTGCAGGGAAGCCAGGGCTTCTCACCAGTGGACCTGGTGGACGTCCATGGCGAGGTGAGCAACCGCATAGTCTTTGCTGCATACCTAGAGATCAATCAGAACCAAGACCAGCCAGGACCAAGGGCGATCCTTCAGTGATGACAACAACCCGGACTGCAGGACAGCTCAGTCTTTCAACTGCTAGCTTCGTGGTCAAGGTTTGTAGCCACAAGCCTCGGCTGCCAACCCAGTCAAGTACAGCAGCCGTCCATTCACCACGGTCCCGACTTAACGGAACTAAGATCCGAGTTGTAAAGGCCCATCATCAACTCTCAGGCACAACAGGCCCTAGGCTACAGCTCAAAAGTGCAGGGTGGACTTCATCTTGGCCAGCCAGGGGCAGTGGTCCCGGCCATAGTTCGAGCTCAATTTGGGGCCTCCTCTGCTGATGAAACAAACGCTTACCGGAGCCCAATCTCGCCATCTATCAATATATGTATATATATATATATATATTATATGCATATGTATATTGATTGCAGCGAATTCTTTTGAGTTTATTTGAGATGCAAGTAGTTGAAACTAAGAGGGTAGTGGTCCTGGGAGGTTGCAGACAGGTCTTTTGTAGTGATGGAGAATCGAGTGTTGAGGTCCGTCGTGCAGGTTGCCGTCGACAGAGGAGGCATCCGGATCCTAGCAATCACGATGCTGAGGTGCCTTACATGGATTGTGGGACTGCCATTGTTGGCCAGGCATGGGTTCTTGGGGATCTGCCAGCGATCATGCGCCCCTGATTGCCAATCTCATCCCGCTGTTTGCTTGATTTGTTTCGATCGGGCCAAAGCGCCCAAGCTCCCGCTTGAAGTTTTCAATCCAGCAGCAGGTTGAAGTCACAAGTATTTCGTTGACCTGTAGGACACGACATGTCACGCGACGGTCTCACGTCAAGTTCGGGCATGGAAAGGGGGAGTGCTATTCATGAAGCAGCACTGGAAAGCTGCGCTTTAGTGACTCTGGCTGGTCAGGTCGAAGTTCCCGGCTTGACGTGCATGACGTTGGAGGCGCTGATCTTCGAAACATGGCTGTACCGGCTCTTGCTGTCTGCAACTCTATGAAGGTCCCCTCCGTTCAGAGCAAGGAGGCCTGGAACAGTTTCCTCCAGCTGTTCTCGCTGGGGGCCAAGAGCTGCGCTGCAGAGAAACTGCCAACCCAAATCAAGAGATCAACGCGGCGGGAATCTGTATCAGGTAAATGCCACATCCGGTAGAGTTTGATAGATTAATTGCTGCCTGCCAAGAAGCATGGAGGGTCCATCTCAGGCACAAGAAATGCAAGCACTGCATTTCTTTCAGAGCTTGAAGAATCTTCAGGTTGGCCGACGGCATCGTGATCCTGCGCATATCGGATGATGCGGAACATGATCAGGCCGGCTTCTTCTTTCAACGGGCACATAGCAAAACGACCTCGTTGTGGAGTTGCTGCGTGAAAGTCTCAATCTTCTTCGCCTGATGCTTTGGTTTTCAGATTTTCCAGATAATTAGATCGACTGCTTCTATCTGAAGTCCTGACCTTTGCTTCTCTTCTGTGCATTTGCCACTTGCTGCGCCAAAATTGCTAGGCATGAGACGCTTGGGATCTAGTTATAAGAGCATTTGCTGCAGGGGCTGGCAATTATAAAGGAGCTGGGATGCTGATGATTGCACGACCAGGAAGGCTACGTGGCAAAGTCCCCACTGCTGGGTGAGGCGTCGGCATGGCGCTGGAGCTTGTGTGTCGTTGTTCAGAAAGAGTGAGGTGTATGAGATCGTTCAAAGCAGACCAATGTTCATCGTCTGCGTGTGCAAGGCCCGGGGACTTTGCAGCTTGGAAACACACGTCCAGTGCATGCATATTCCTTTCTTCTTCAGTTTCGTTTTCCAGGGTCTGAGTCGTAATTGCTAGTTTTGGACAGTTTTGGATGCTTTTGCTTGTCCATCCAATCGGAGCAAACTTTTTGCTACTCTACTACTCCCTTGACGTCTTCACATTTTTCTCGACATTGATTGTTTCACGGATGATGCCACCACGCACTTGTGGAGGTTCCAGTGAAGGCAGACCGATCGTTTGTTCTTCCGCCACATTTTCAAGCAACACTTATGCAGTGCACGCACTGTGGTTGACGAGTTTCTGTCATAACAGCATGCTGTGGTGAATCGAATGTCGGCAATTACGTTTGCATGTATTGCGCACATGGGCCTGTAAACGTCCCGCACGTTAACATGCATGCACCTGTGTTGCATACTTAGAAGTAGAGAGATAGGCATGCACTCGCGAGGGCAGGGACAGGCAAGGGCAGGCAGGGGCAGCCAGTGGCAGGCGGGGGCAGGCAGGCATACCGCATGGTACGGATGACGATCCTCGTTGTGCAGACCGAATTTGTCATGCTACTTGGCTTTGACTTGTTGCGCAAGGCGCAAAGTTAGCCTATTGCCAATATCAATCACCCACGTGTGTTGTTGCCTGCTTTTTCGGATGATCAACAAATAGGGTTTCAAAACGGGGCGGAGCTTGTTTCGTAGCAGCCGGGTCTTAGACAGATCCACACTGGGTTGCAGTGGAAGAATGTTGAGCAATGCTATCCAACTCGGCCCTGATGCCACTTGCTTGTGCAAAGCCGGATTGTGGACACCTCTGTCGGTATTCATGGCATAGGCATTGGAAACAGTCTGGGTGGAAATTAGGTTTTCACATTTGTTGTTCCAACATAGCTCATGAAACTTCGTGATACTCTGATGAGGCTCTGCTCGATTTGTGGCGCTGGGCACATGAAAGAAAAAGATGCTTGAAACCATGGATGTGATTCGTAGGCCACTGCACGGTTCGCTGCTCAAAAGTCCGGTCTGTCAGGGGGATTACAGACAGTGACCGGGATGTGCTGATTGAGCTGGAGATGGCTTGCTTCCATGCAACGATTGTCAGGTTGCAAAGGCACAGAAACCTACAAAGACAAACGCCAAAGATCTGACTCGGCTGCCTGATGAAATGCCTGTGTTTGATCTAACCTGAGTTAAACGGAGGGTCTCCAGTCAAATGTGGCATGCAAAGCCGTGGTCTGTCTTATCACAGACCTGTGGCCAAGCGAGTGATGTGTGTCCGAATGGATCAGACGGATCGAATCCTGCCGTACCGCAACAGAAATTGGCAAGACTGGAAGCCTGGGCTTCTCCGGCAGAAGTAGCAAGATAAATCAGTGAAGCGCTGGAACGCGGTTTAGAGTTGGCCTAGAGGCTCATTTACTTCCCTGGTTCGGCTTGGCAGGTCTGTGGCTTGGCCTGGTTGCTATGACACTTTATTGCAGGTACATGCAGGTGGCATCCCCTCTTCATATTACAGCATATTTCAGCCATCTTCGTTGGCAGCAAAACTGCTGAAGCAATCCCTGCTGCCCCTGCGCTGCTTTGTTACACAGTCCTTGGCAAAAGGGTTGCGCGCACACACACACACACATACGCACGTACAGACGTGCATACATGCAAGAAGTTGTATTTTGTAATTAACTGCAACCGTCGACATGACTTTCGTGACAGCGGCTCTGTCCGGCGCTGCTACTCATAACACTCAGCATCATAACCGTCATGATCATCATCGCCGTCATCAATTCCACCTTGGTCGGGATAGTCAACATACCCACACGAGTCTTCCTTGCAAGTTCCGCATCCTAGTCAGCGCACACATGTCTTAAGTGTCATAGCGAAGCAATAGGGTCAAAAGAAGTGAATTGAACATTAGCAAGACGGACGTAGTCACTCACCGTGCATTTCCAAATCACGGCTGTGGGAGTCATCAGTGCAACTACACCAGCAGTGCAAAGGGGTGCTTCTGTCAAGTGGCCGCCAGGGCCCAGTTCGAGCTTCGCTGATGACTTTCCCGGCGATCTCGCAGCTGGTGCTGGCCACAACAGGGGCTTCGTGGCCCACTCAGATTCCATGGCCTGATGGCACCCTTGTCCTTGTGAAAGCTTGACTAGTCCGTATATGTCGGTGCTTGTTGAAGAATGCCGATGGGCCTCGGATTCACACAGTATTGTACAAGCAAACTCGTCTACTCACTTGATGACGGCACCCAGTGCACTGGCAAGGTTTGGCTTGCCCAAGTACCGTGAGGGCCTTGGCCAGTCCATGTTGCATTGCAGGCTTCATTCCTGTCCCAACACAAAGAATCTGTGGAATTGAGGACATGACCTACATCCCATCACCCAGATTGCTCTAAAGAAGAGAATGATGGAGAAGGCCTGTTGCTGCCTGCTTGCTTCATTGGACGAACCATCAGATGTGAGGCTGTTCGCCGTCTTCAGCTAGTTGGTGATCCGATCGATGCAAACGAAGCGCAGAGGTGCGCAGCCAAGCACATGACTTGTTCAGCAGCTTGTGCATGGTGCTTCTCTGCAAGGTTAGGTTTGGTGGACTTCATCGGTGATGAGGCTGCTCCGTGGGCACTGGCAATTGTTTTTTGCAACGTCTGAGCAGCAGTGCAGGCGGAGGTGGAGAACGAGATATGCAGGTTAGTCTACAGAAACTGTTCGCCCTCGAGCCAGTATTTCATGTGCCTGGCCGCACTTCATTACCTTGATGTTCCACAGCAGTGAGGGTATGTGAGGGTCAGAAATTGCTTGCCCCATGGTCTGGCTTCCTGAAGGTACAAGTCCGACCTTGTCAAGGCAATGAGAGCCAAAGAGGAAGCTTGAGCAGTGTCAGAGGTTTCACGCAGCGAATGAGGTTCGCTCTTTGACGCTTTGATCGGGATCAGTGGGGTGTGGGGAAGATCCGGAAAGGAGCTCCTGTCTGTTTAGAAGGCCCTGAGCAAGCTTGGGCTCTGCTCTTCCGTCGGCACCAATCAGCGCACCTCATGGCTCTGCTCTTCCAGTTTCGGATCGCCGGGAGCACGCAAAAGACAGTAATCTTCTTTGGCTGGCTCGAGGTTTCCGAAGGTGGCTGACCTTCAGCATGCTTTTGCTTGGCTTGGCTCGGGTCGCGACTGATTTCTTAAGGCAACATGGAGGACAAAACTACGATTGGAGTCATAGTGAGATTTCGTGGGTTCTGCTGCGAGGCGTTTTGTCTGGGAATCACAGACGGAGCTTGGGGGTTAGCTGGGGAATTAGCCAGACATAACAGTCGGCCAGTCAGGTGCCCCATAAGCAGTGTCAGGGTACGAAGCCTAGCCCCCAACTTCTACAAACTTGCTCCTGTCTGCACGATACATGCCTCAGCTGCTTTGTGGCTTCGCACATCAACACAAGCCAGTAAGCCGAACAGAACTCATTTCCTGCTTACTTGGGTGATTATGGCATTCCAGAATGAAGCGGGCAGTAGAGCAGGAATGCCAAACAGACTGTGGAGACCCTCGAACCAGCATCAGCACCACCAAAGTACAAGCCGTTTCCTTGCAAGACGTCCGTCATTTGATCTGTGATTCGGCTTGAGGCAGGAGTCAAGATGGCTTGGTTTTCCAGCCATGGCTTTGTTTCCAGCAAGCCATGTGGTTGTGGTGGGCGGTGGACTGGCCGGAATGGTGGTTGCCAACCAGGTCGAACCCTCAATGGCCCAATCGTCTACACTTTGGGGAGCTAAAGGGCAGGCGAATGATGTCTTGTTTGCACCTGTTCGCTGTCTTGGGGAGCTAAGCGCGATTCGATGGCTTGTGGAGTTTAGTTTTTTTGGTTTCGCGGCTTAGGGAATAGCTCCTTGTTCTTGCACATGCATTCGTCTGCGAATCAGGCGCTCGGTGCACGAGTCATGCTTTCTAATGAGTGCTTGAATCGGTTCCTCGGTGCACGAGTCATGCTTTCTAATGAGTGCTTGAATCGGTTCTTCCATTGCCCGCATCGGTTTCAAGTGCGGCTTCATGTCAGCCATACACCTTAGCTGGCAAGTCCGTCCGTTTCTCTTCTAAGGTGTTGGAGCGCGGAGGTCGAGTCTTGGTGGGTGCCCCAGTTTCGAACCGCTGCAGACTCGGGGTCTGGGATACGAAGCAAAATCTTGTCCCAAAGCTTCTAGCAATGCCGGCAGTGTTTAGACAATCATCCCTAAGATGCAAACGGGGTGTTGGTAGGCAAGCAAGTCACGCCACAGGTACAAAGACGAAGGAAACGCTCTTTTGGTGCAGATAGTGTTTTCTTGTTTCCACTAGTGCTTTGCACCTCCCCAGCTCTCCCCCGAAAGCTCTCCCAAAGCTTCCCCCAAACCTCTCCCCAAGCTCTTCCCTCCTTTTTCAAGCTCTCGCGTTTCCCAGACACTCTCACGAGCTGTCCCACCCCACCCAAAACCACTTCCCAGAGAATGAGTGGGTTTCAACTTAGTGAAACAACCAACAAGCCTTACCAACGAACCCCCGGAAGTATACTTACCAGCTACTCCCCAGCTGCTGCCCACCTTTATACCTTAGATGGCACTCCCGAGCAGCTCGCAGTTGTATTATGTTGTATTCTAGGCAGTAAAAGGATGAGAGAAAAACTGTCAATCAATTGAAACAGCCTCGATTTGAAGGAAGGCCTTGACTTTGAATCTCAGGGTTGAGTAAGAGAGTTGCCCGTTGGACTGCACAACAGTCTTTTTTGGATGGCTTGCACGATTTTGTGCATCGCTCTGCACGACTCCGCCTCGCTGCTCGACTGAGGTTCTTGACAAGGAGCGCTTGATGCCGCCAACAGTCTCGGATGCTCCTGCTGAATACCCACTCCGCAGGCTCCCTTCTGCGGTGGCAACTCAGCCAAAGCCACCGCCGGCATCAGTTTTCCAGCATCTCAGGATTCCTAGCGGTTTGTTGCAGTTCTGTACTTGTACAAGCAGTTTTTTTGGAAGCGTTGCAGGAGGATGCTATGTCTACATTCCAGAATGACATTAGAGTTGCTGGACGGAGTGAGACACCCCTGACCGAAATCTTGGGCCGCTGGACCTGCAAGTTCTGTGTGCTTCTTGACACGAGTTGCACCCGAAGCAAGACTCTCACCAGCAGGAGCCTTCCAATGAGAGAGTCAGGTCGAAATGGCTTGCCCGACAAGAGCTGGCTGGTTGACAAATTCGACTTGAATTTGGCAATGATCGCGAAACATGCAGGGCACTCCCATCCACGGACCCTCAGGAGCATCGCCAAGTCTCGGAGTCCCTTCCCGTATATCTGCTCGTCCAACTGTGAGCTCCATCTGCAGAAAGGACTGGGGATGGCATGCCGGGCATGACGATCACCTATGCCCTGATCCAGCGTGTCGAGAAGGTTGCCGAGGCTCGCGAGTATGTCTTTATCCGATACCCTGCCAAAGAATCTGCATGGAGGTGTCTGATAGAGCTCGAATCATCACCAAAGCTGAAGTCTCCCGACTCCTCAGTCGGGCAGGAAGCGTGGTGGGATGGAGCCTTAGATTTCTCATTCGGCTTCAGCTGGGTGTCCCAACTCACCGATGTCCCAGGCTGCGAGTACCAAAAATTTGGGAGAAGCAGCAAGGAGTACGGTCCCGTGATCCTCTGCACTGGCCTCCCAGCTGCACGGCAGATGAACATCGTTTCCAAAACTCCCCCCATTTCTCAAGAGTTGGACAGGTGGCTTCGCAGCAGGTGTTGGACCTGGATCTGTGCTGGCAAAGTACCGGCCCGACTTGGTGAACCTGCCAACGGCCAGCGCGGAGCATTGCACAGGAGACGGGCTCAAGCTTGGTCCCTAAGCCGATCAGAGCCCGGCCCCGACGTCTGGCTGCTCTTTTCCGTCTAACGTCCTCGCAGTCGTTGATCCTTCTCCAGGATAGCGGAATGCAGGGTTCTAGGTGCGAGAGCACTGAGGGATGCGTTAGGTGAAGATGTCGGTGCCAAGACTCTCGACCTGGAGTGGGTGCAACTCCATCCGACAGGGCCGGGTCCGCAGTTCACCTATGCTTGCCATGGAGCCATCAAAGGCCACCGCGCCGCGCTGTCCTGCCATAGCTAGGCTGATACACTTGGACGAGCCAGAGGCCCCTCGCAAGGCTGGGAATCTCGTGGAGTTCGGCCGTTGAGAAAAATGTGCTGAGCCATAGCCATGGCCATGCATGGCCAAGCAGGCGATTGCGGGAGAGATCTTCCGTGCGGCGGGTGCGCTGCTGCTGGATGCGTGTGGGGAGCGCTTCTGCAACGAGCTGGGGCCGGCAGCGCCTGAGCTGATCTGTGGCGCAATTTCGTGACCCTTACAGTAACGGCCAGCGCAATTGGATTTCCGAGGACCACATTCTAGAAGAGATGTCCAAGAGGCCAGGCCGAGCCCCGTTTTGGCTCTGCCTGAACACGGCTGCATCCCGAGAGCTGCAACGTCAATGCCGGGCATTCACTCGGCGGCGGCTCATGAAGTGCTACGCGTCCGGCAAAGAACTCGCACAGGAGATGAGGACAGGCTCTCCAGAAAGCAGGTTACAGCAGATTCAGACGTCCTGAATGCCAACTTTCGTGATTGGCCCGGTGCACCGAAAGTCGTGCCAGACTGTTTGAAGCCGACTGACAGCAATCACAACCTAGACGGGTTGGCTGTGCACGGTCGGGGTCGAACACTCCGGTCGAAAATGTCACAGACCGTGATTCTTATCTTCGTTCTCCTGTCATCTTGGGCGAGTTTAGGGGGTGGAGCAGGGGCCTCAAGCAGATGCAATGCTGCTACATGCTGCCAGTATAGAACAAAATAGACAGGACAGTGGAACCATTTTCGAACTTATCCCTGCTGTTGGGATTGGCGAAGGGTTTGTTTGCCTCACGACACTCCTTGTAGACAGCCCATTCACGGTTCTTTCAGGGTTTTAGCCACCATCATGTTGGTGCATTATGCGACAAGCAATCTTCAACTCGCCAAAATGGGGCACGTGCGGGTGAGTGGCATTGTTCAAAAGTTTCATGTCGGGCAGTTCTCTGCTGGCAGGCCCCTAGCGTGTTTGGGATATATTTTGCTCCATAACAAAAAGCATCACCGACCGTAGACTCCTCGTGGGTGGAGTTCGCGCCCCCGTTAGATCACTTGGGTCGCATGCACGCATGACAAATCGTTGTGCCACCGAGGGTACGTAATGTCCCAGAGTGTCTTTTGTGAATGTCCTGACGCCCCGCAAATCAGCCCAAAAAAGGTTACCGAAAGACATTAGAACTGCAGTGGACTGCCTTTGAACACCAAACCCAAAAGGGTCCACCTGCTACGTGCCGAGATGACTCCAAGGCTTTGAAACGCGCAAAACAACAAACCCCAAATCCGCTATATCTTTCAGTTGTGATAGTTTTGAAAGCCCGCACTCGCATACAGCAACAGCTTCCCGCTTTGCCCAAGATCATAAAGTCCGTTCCGGTTCACGTTTGACGAGGGAGCGCAAGCATCAACATGACGGAGATCTTCAAGTCTCGGTTGAGTCTGCTGCTGAGGTGGTGGAATCACCAGGAACACGCTCGCAGGTTGAGACAACAGCAAACCTCTCTGCCTGGCCCATAAACAGAAAGACGGCCAAACATGTTTCGAAAGGTTTTAATTCCATGCTAATCGCATGTATCACATTTCGCTTTGCACGTGCTGCTGCCCACACCATGCTTTTGCGCTTGCCAGTGGTGTCCCATAATATGCCGAACAAACCTCCGTTCAGAGGGTAGCTGCCGATATCTTGGTGGATACCGGGTCCGCGGGTGCGGTTCGTTGGCTGCAGTCAGAGCAATCCGCCCACTGTTCCATAGTTTCACTGGCGTGGCTGGGGAGTGAAGCTCGCACGCATGCAATCAGCTGCTTCCCCCAGGAACTACACATCGCAGACACTTTCAGATTGGGTTCCATCGGCCGTCGCCAGGATACCTCTGGAGAAGCTCGTGGAGGTGCACGATGCCCATGCCGAAGCCTTCCGCCGCACACTGAGGGACGCCGGGGAGAGCGAAGCCGAGAAGGGAGCAAATGGGACGGGTCCGTTTCGAGGGCCTTGGAGGAGTTTCGACGGGAGGCGCTCCTACGACGAGGTTTCCGGGAAGCTGGGATTTGGGAAGTGCGACTTTCGGAATGTTTTGGTTGGCTCCAGGGTACCAGATGAGACCTTCCATGCTGCGCAAGTCACGCCGGTGGTCTTGTACTGTGCTGGGGGTCTTGGAATCTCTGTGCAGGGAGAGGTGCTGAAACAAGATGGGTCAGCAATCCCTGGTCTCTTTGCTGCTGGGGAATGTACAGGTGGTGTTCATGGAAGGCTGGCACTTCCAGGAAATTCTTTGCTGGATTGCCTTGTGTTTGGAAGGGTGGCTGCGAAGTCAGCTTGCAAATACATATTCGGCGAGGATGATGAGTTTCGTCCCTGTCCGCTCCCGTCCCAAGAAGGTCAAGTTGAGACGTTCGAAAGTCGAGAGCTCGAGTTGCAGAGTAGAGTGAGTGAGTGGAGTGTTCTGATACGAAGGGGCATCTGCCTTAGATGTAGTCTCCGCATGTTTCGGCTTCAGCGGGAAGGGAGGGGCCCCTGGCACCAGCCATGAGGCCGTCTCTTGCTCGGGAGACCCTTGGAGTACAAACGCCACTGTTTCAGAGGCGGAGCGGAAGCCGGCGATGGCTTCACTTGACCAGCCAGGGGCCTCAGACGCTGCGGAGCGGCGTCGCCCTGACCTTCGCGCTCGCCTGCCAGGTTCAGCTCTGCTTAGTACCAGCCTGGCATTGTGGGCCCTGGTCTCTGAGAGCTCTGCAGCGAGATGACCGGTTCTGGTTCATGTGCTGCTAAAGCCACTGAACTGAGGTTTTGGATGATGCCGTTCCGCGGCAGGACCTTCTGCATGCAGTGGGATGCGACGTCGTCGGGTGGCATCTTCGCTCTCTTGCGCAGTCGGTGGCCTTCCTCCTGGGGAGGGGAGCAGGCACATCAGCAGGGCCCAGGCAGGGACATCAGCATGCATCAGCAGTTCCCTGACACTTTTGGAAACTCTTGTGCCTTGGAAGGCTGGCTGGCTGCGTGAGCCTGCAGGCCGAACACGAGCAAACCGCTGCAGCTGCAGGAGGAGTAGTTGGTCGTCGTCGTTGCGGTAGTGGTGGTAGTGGCATTGGTCGTCGGTCGGGAATCGCAGTCCGGGCGCAGCTCAGGATCTTGCCCCTCTGAAGTCGAAATCTCGAGTTCTCAGCTCTCCCCGCGGGCTCTCCCCGGGTGCTCTGAGCTCCGCTGGCGCCAGGCCTGGAACGACGACTCGCCGCCTCCTCCGCCCCCCCGGCCGCCGCGTCCGAGCCTCCCAGAGCCTCCCAGAGCCTCCCAGAGCCTCCCAGCCTCCGCTGCCGACAGTCCGACTTTCTGGGCTCCCGTGCTCAGCCTGCACTTCAGGGCCTTTCGGCTCAAGTTTCCGGCAGCCCCATTTCAGTTTCATGCTGCCATGTTCTTGAGTTGTCCCTGCACTTTGCTGCTGGAAGCCCCCCGGTTGCATCAGGATGGCACGAGACGCCAACAGCTTTTGCCTTAAAGATGAGTCAATCGCTAGGACGACCTGCGTGACGAGAGCCTTTGCAACAACGACCCGACTGACGAGATTCTGGACGATGCTGCCACGAACAAACTGAAGCATGTGTCCTTCAAGGACAAAGGGGGTTGCAGGCTTTTGCCGTTGTCGACGGCGCGCTGCAAATATATAGTTTATCTCAACTGAGTATCATATGACGGCATCAATCAGTTGCGATGCGAGAAGACGACGGTGGAAGGAGTTAGCTAGACAAGAGCAGTGTTCCATGTTACTACTATGATTGCTTTGAATGTTGGTTCGGTATCAGTCCTTATGGGTATGTCATCATGTTTGTGCATGCGCATATATGCACATCCACAGACGAAATCCGTCAACCAGCTACGGGAGTCCCCATGCTATGACGCCGCTTGCCATGTTGCATATCCGCAGATATCGCTGTTAATGGAAACGACCAGTCGCCAGTGGAGCTCTAAAGGACAGTTCTGTTCAACAAAGCACCTTGCACACAAAGTGTTATCAAGCGCAAGACTCGGGGATTCAGATCTTACGTAGGGGCCAAGTTCAAGGAGTTCCAGGAGTGTTCGATGTTGCCAAGTTAGAACAGGTCCCATAAGTTCAGCAGGTCTTCTTCTAGTTCATAGGCAGCGAGGCACGCCGCATCACGCCGCTGTGCTGTGGACTAGCTTGAACTGGACGTGCTTCGAGGATGTTGAAGGCCTTCGGCTGCCATCTAGCAGGTCCAATTCGTCATTTTGCGGATTGCGAGTTGCGTACTTTCGCATGCTTTGTGCCAGGACGACAGTAGTCGGCCGACATCGTGCACGAGATATCTACCATCAGATCGGGGTACTTCCTTGAGCGGCAGCAACTCGAAGAAGGGCGTACCGCTGACGACTTTTGTTCTAGAAGCGACGCTCGGACAAAGTATGGTTCAATATTTGTTCAGGATTCGATAGAGCTCTTTCCTGTCGGCATTAGCCAGTAGACACTCGATGCCCAGTCTTTCTTTTTGAGACTGCGATCTTGCCTTCAACACGGCGCAGTGCAGCGTCTCTTCTGTTTACAGGTAATGCTATAGGGGTAATTGGAATCTTGCGATCAGCCATGTCACCACTGTGTGTGCAGCTTCGACGATAGCCGATAGCAAGTTGTGATATGCGGTGAGAGACTGTCACTTGTTTGACTGTCCTTTCTGCTGCTGCGCTTCACTCGGTTGATCTCTCTGCTATTTACCCATCGTAAGGCGCAAGAGGAAGATGCTGCAAGGAAGGCCTTGCGCGCGGGCTTTACGAAGTGTTGAGACAGCTGCACAAAAGACCACTTTCGACTGAAAGTCATGGCAGCTTTTGTCAGTTGCGCAAGTCCGTTCGCGGCCTGCATCCTGTCCTGCGATTTGATGAGACATGACCGTGCAGGATCAAGTTACTATCCTTCCTTGGCAAAAACGGCTTCAAGACCCACGATGTGAATGCAAAGAAGAGTGGAGTTTTCGGCTTTTCCCGTGCCCGGAAGCCTGTTTCAGGCTTTCTGAGCCTCAGCTAGGCACATTCGCTTCCAGCTTCCGTATGGGGATGCTGCTGCTTCATGAGGAGGTCGTGCATAGCGGACATAGTGGACGTGTGGTGCACACTAGATGTTGCAGCGAATCCGTTGGATGTTTTCACATTCCGGAATCTCCATGTCTCCATCATGGTAGAAGCGGCGCCGCAGGTACTTATCCGTTGCACGAGGCTGCAAAGCAGGATCATGCTTCGATGGTGCGTTGGCTGTTACATTTCGGAGCTGATTCAGCTAAGAAGGACAGCTCAGGCCGGGACTGCCCGGACTCCGTGGCGGGATGTAGAATGGAAAAGGCATAAGGGGACTCCGCACCAGGCCGTACAGCCTACGACTATGTCAAGACCAAGCCTCCCAGCGATGAGGCAGAGAACGTGTAGTGTTCTCGGCTCTTGTGCTGTAGATGAAGTCTTCTTTGCCCGCAGTTGATTACATCTTTAATTCTTTTGTGATGTCATTTCTCGTTGGCATAATGTCAGAATATGTCGGAAGATGAGCTTCGTGAGCAAGCGGTGTCTGCAAATTGATGCCTGAAAGCTGATTTCCGGCATTGAATGAAAAGCAGATAGGTGCGCCGGGTCCTGGAGAAGCACGACATGTGCCAGCGGCAGTCTGCATGGCACAGGACCATGTTGGTCCGTCCAGATGCAGCGAATGTGGTGTGTGTTTTGCTCACATCCAGATCTCTCGGGGCATGTGTCCTCATCAACACGACGTGGCAGAAGTAGTGAGCAGTGGCGGCTGGCCATCTGCAGTCCAGGAAAGTAAAACAGTAGACAGCGTAACGGATCCTCTGCTGGAGTATGCCAGCTAATCGTGTTTTCATCATGTCACGCTGTAGCGACGTAGCTTTGGCAACGGAGAAGTGGATTGCCATCTGTCAGCAGCAGGGTAAGACATGTCATGGCATCACGATCTTGATGTCTGCAGTATATGCACAAGTCTGCCAGCTGACTCTTGCATTCCATGCGCAGGCTTTTCTGTCGCATGAAAAGTTTTTCGGGTCCCTTCTCTTCGAGTCTATGTGGGTTTCTTGAACTTAGAGACCCTTGTACCAAGGTTAGGACGATCATTCAGGATCTCACTATTTAGGGTTCATACACTCTGAAACTCCCGCATGTTTTGGATTGTGTCAGCGCTGTGCTGCCAGCATCCCTCGCAGGATCTGGCCGCCACAGGGCTTCGATGAGTTCCTGGAGGAGGTTAGGAGGCAAAAGGAAGTCGAGGCCTCAGATCGCCTCGCACAGCACCGGGAACATAAAAAAACATCGGGGCTGGGCAATCTAGAAGACTTTGGTGGCTGCGTGGGCGGCTGCGATCGCGGCAGCTGAGGAGCTTTTACCAAGCTGATGCGGAAGCGCAGGTGGCCCTGCCCGTCTTCTGGCTTCAGGCACCCCCCCCTCGATACTTCTGTGGGGCTTCTCTGAAAAGCCAGTCCTCGCATCAGTCGAAGTGCTGCATCCAAGGAGCCTCTCCGGAGGTGAGACGGTGCGCAATTGCAAGTGTCCTTCGTTTCGGCGACCCCTAGAACCCTCGGAGGCCTCAAGTTCTGCAAGCCATTCTAAGCCATTCTAAGCTTCTAAGCTCATGAAAACTTCCCACGTTGCCGTCTCGTGGAGCTAGCAGAGCCTGGCAAAGCGAGACGGTAGCAGAGAAATGCAGAGAATAACGTGAGGCCGTACGGTACGTGCCAGGATGGCGCATGGGAATAACCATCGAGTTTGTGGACGGCATTGGTCTGTTGGTAGAGGTTTCGAGAAAGAGAGGCTTCAGTGAACAGTAGGGCTAGGGGCCTTTCCCCGAAATTGCCGACCAATGCCCTGCCTGCACACCCCTGGGTCGCTTTACTTTTATTTGCGACTGGTTTCATTCATAAAGGCTCTGCACAAAAATTCACCCCAGCTCGGAGAACTCCGAGTCGTTGCACGACACGCCTGATTCCGCCAATATGTTGTTTGATCAGAATGTGCTACCTGTCATGGGTTGTGGGTCGACGGCCCTCTACGCATAAATTCGGGTGTGGGTTGTTTGCAGCTCCCATTGATCCAACATCGTCATAAAAGCAGCGCCTTGTGCTGCTTTCGCACGTCTTTCGTTCCTTGAGACCGTCTACGAGACGAGCGCCTCGCAACCACGTCCAAGCTGTGGACATGTGTCGCAGGCGTTCAAGCAGAAACACCTGCTATCCCCGTTCCGGGGCGTGCTCACTGCAAGCGGTGCAGACAAATCGTCTGGCTGTTTGCCTCGCAATGCCAGTCTTGCGACCACATGCTCTCACTAGACTTCGGACGTAGTGCTATTGGTTTTCTTTCACAAGGCATTGAGAGAACCATGCGTTTTCTTCGATCGCTGGCGACTGTGGAAGGCTCATTTGTCATACTGTCGACTACAGTCTGGCAGCTGCGCCCCGTTTAAGTTCCAAAGCAAGCCCTGGTGATCAGATATTGCTTTCTCTGATAGTAGAAGGATTCAAGCTGCGCCGCTTTCCGCTGCCCTGATGTCTTGTTGGTGACGGGCGGTGGAGTGGAGTGGCTCTCTAATTTTTCTGCTGTCGGCACTTCTTGGCTTCATTTGGCTTCTGGCCATGTATGCAGCAACCCCAGCACTGCCAAAAGACAGAGGAGGTTGTGCGTGCAGTGCGTGCTTTTGTGTAAGACATACTCCTGAGTACGCAGCTAGGCATTGGCAGAAGCGGCACTTTGTAGTTGCAGGATGTTGCAGGCACAGCAAAAAAGCTCCTTGTTCTTGTTCTCTCTACGTGCTGGAACAGTTCCGGCGGGTCCTGCACGAGGCAGGCTACTCGCCCATGCGCATACTGAGAGCCGTTCCATTTCTGGAGACAAAAAAGGTTCGAGAAGACTGCTGGTGCAACTGCTCAGAGCCTTGTGTCGAACAGATCACCGTTTCAGCTCTGAGGTGAGCGAAAGATGACAGATGTCGAGAAGCAAGCCGATGCGATCGTCCATGCGGTGCGGTCCAGAGCCTTTCTTGAAGCGAGGTGAGGTGGACATAGGTGGACTAGGTGCGTCGTGATTTCAAGAAACTTGGCATCACAGGAACCACCAGGAGTGCCCCCCAGCAGTAAAGTACCATTGCTAGAACAGTCACTACCGATTACTTGCCGTGTGTCCATACTCTCCCGTATGCAGAGGTGTCGAAGAGCCAAGGCACCAGGTCTCCGTCTAGTTCGCTCGTGTCAGGTCGTTGCAGTCGAGCTTCTCCATTGGCATGGGAAGCTGGGTGGGACCCTGGAGCCCTTCGGCAGAATTCGCTGTCAGTGACCGCTTGACCAAAGCAGACCAAAGTAGAAGGCAGTAGCTTGAGCCGACTTACGATGCCAGCTGGAGTCCTCTGCTAAGGAACGCATTTCGAAAGCACCTGCCTCAACCGTTTTCTTCCGGTTTTGCTCTGTTTCTTTCTTGTCTTTGTCCTCCAGCCCAAACAGATTCAGACAGTCGGACAGACTTGTTGAGCAGGTGCGTCTACGTTCCCGTGCTTCCCAGGCTGGTTGTTGATCGTCCTCACAACACTAACAAAGGGAATACTGCTCAAGTGCTCCCGCGTAAGCCTAGTGCTGCAGGCTGAAGCGGTTGACGAATCGCAAAGATAGCGCAGATGCGAGCCTTGCAGGTTTTGATGTAGTGCCAATTCTGTGCAGTTGAATTCACATTCTCTTAACCAGATTTTGCCAGGATTTCAAAATAGACATGAAGACCGGCCGTAAGCTGTCGCGCCCGAGTAGAGTTCACGATGCAGCCGGGAGCTCGGAGCTTTACGGAAGTCGGCGCTGCAGGCGATCGCAGGGCTTTTCGATGGTGCTTTCAGTTTGAGGCCCTTGAGAAGCAGTTCACCCTGGGTTTCGTCGAGCCGGCTTTGGTTGCTCCGCCCCAGATCCAGCATCAAAGGCAGTTGCTGGAAAGAGCATTGCAGGCTTTCACTGGCGTGGCCTTGGATGCTTTGAGTAGAGGCTGGCCGAACGAAGAACTGGGATGACAGGGCAAAGCAAAGCAAGGTCGTGACACACATGTTGCAGCATGCACCTGCAGCCGGGAGGCGACAACGGAGTTTGGCTTCCTCTTGCCCGATACCAGGCGGACAGGAAATGAGCTAAACCCACTGCTTCCAGAGCTTCCACGATTAAGACTTGGTGGGATGTGAGATGGGCTTGGCTGTCACAAGATCGGATCGGCAATGTTGGAAGGCTCGCAGGGAGCTCAACCTTGCGGACGTAGAGCCGGGTGAGGATCCACAAGCCAAGGACCGGTGGACGGGTCACTGGCCCGTGACAGGGGATACACATCGCCAGAGTTCGCACCGCTATTTTTTGAGCGGCGGTGGCACTGTGTTTCGTCTCTGGCAGGATCTTGTGGCTTTCAGCCAGGGTTTCGTGAAGTCTGACGCTGGCCAGGAGCGAAAGTAGGGGACGAGGTGTTGCGGTTTGCATGCCTGTCGAGCAGTATTTCACCTGTCCATGGGATCATCCAATACTAATAGCATGAGCGGCCTCGACACTTGACCGAGATAGGAGATAGGCTACGTAGTCTGCTTGGAGGAGATGGTTCAGGTTACTTCTCGAGCTGTCGCACAGCTGCATGAAGCGTTCGTAAGTACATGCAGCCATTCTTGCTGCAGCTCTTACCACAGGTGTCAGTAACTGTCAGTATCTTGTGCTCAGACATGCTCAGACGTTGCAGGACAGGTAGCGACACAGAGGGTTGAATGCTAAGGTGGGACATGGTGATGCCAGACAAAACATCTGGATCCTTCCTGCTTCGCTGCCTTGTTTGTTCTTGACGACTACCTTATATGGCAGCGGCTCTCTTGCTGTGTCAGCACACCGTGTGCGCTTTAAAGAGCTAGTGGCTAGTGAAAGCAACTGCGACCTGCAGCCATATTTTGGGCCGGCCTTTTCGGGATTGAGTCCAGGGAACTCTGGCCCAGCACTCTGCATGGGGTCCGGGTCAGACAATTCGGAAGCCAGGTCTGAGCGTGTTCTGGGTCCCCCTGCGCTGGATGACGACATGCTGCTGTCCGTCCGCTTCCTTCTTTGCTCGCCCTCTTCCATGATCCGGAAGCACCTGGAGGGTCCAGCATCTGGCTCTGAACGATTCAATACCACTCGTGTCAGGCCACGTCCCGAGTTCTGTCGAGGGTAACGGGCGCCCTAGGTATCGAGGTTCTTGCTTTGTCTTTCACTTGGGCTACATCTCTCGCTGTCGGACTCTAGAACGTTGGGAACTTCTGGCATTGTGAGCTGGAGGCACTGGGGTGAACCAGGGGCAGCGGAAAAGATTGGATCGGGTGATCACGGCCCAGAACAGAAATGTCAATCAAAGCTTATCCACCACTGGAACAAATGTTCATCAGTGCGCCAGTACTTTTTCGCATTAGCGTTGCGGTACTGTATGCGCTGTCTCGGGCACGACATCGAAAGATTCTGAAGCCTGCATCAATAGACATCGCAAGGACCGCGGGTTGGCCATTGCAACTGTGTTCAGTTTGCGTCCTAGACCCTAAACCCCAAGCCCCATAAGCCGTAAACCCTGAACCTCAAACCGAAAACATACCCTTGCCAGGTGTTCGTGGATCACGATCGCTCTTCGCACGCCGAGCGGCAGGCACCCTTGTGCAGCATGGATTGGTTCCAGTCATGATCCCAATTAGGGTTTTATATATTATAGGGTTATCAAGGTCTGTTAATTTTCTGAGATTCCCTTATAGACTATAAGCTCACCAGATCTTGTGTAGAGGCCCTTCGATCCAATTGCCACAGCACCTGCTTTGGCTCCGTTTGCGTGTTTGTTCCCTTTGCTGAACGTCAGCTTTGTCAGACGACTGACAGGCCTTGCTGGTTTTACTCCAGGCTGGATTTTCAGACAAGTCGGCAGTGAACAAGTTTTAAAAAGAGTTCCGACATTCTTGAGTGCGACGTGACCATGGCAGCGTTTGCAAGCAGGCTGCTCCGATCGATCCCGTGAGTGAAGGTGTGAAGAAGGGAGCCTGCCATCCCAGCGTGCGGTGCGATTTTGAAATGGGCTTTAGGCAGTCTGGGACGTGGGATCCCGTGTGGCTTCTTTCCGGCTTCTGTTTTCTCAGGTGACTGGCCAGATGCGGGTCTTCGCCAGCCATACTCCATGCATTTCGTGCCGCTTTCTGGCAACCAGTTTGCAAGGACTCGATGTTGCAGTGGTCGGCTCGCACAGTCTTCCAAGAATGCTTCCGGTTGGTTGTTCAAACAGAAGCTCGAGGTCTCTCTTCCATGTGCCAATTCACCAGATGTTTCGAAGGCTGGCTGTCATTGGAAGTGCCAGTTCTAAGCTCCAGCTGTGTGTCTTTGGCAGCTAAGCCAGGCGCCGGAATCTCTGCATCGCACTCAGCGCGCCTTGCGCTGTCGACGGAGTGTAGCGGTGAGTCCCTGATGTGGAATGCCAAGGTCACCTATGACACCTGGAAGGAGACTCGACGATGGATTGGCCTCGATCCACCTGATGGCCAGGGCTTTCCATGCCTATGAAGAAGCAAGTGTGCGTTCTTTTGCATCGCGCCAGAAATTCCGTCCGAAGAGGATGAGGAGGAGAAGGCTTCGTTTGCAGAGACAGCGACAGGGTGGATTTCATCGCAGGTTTCCAAGTCGCAGACATGCACAGCTTTCGCTGGCCAGGCGTGATAGTTCTTCTTGAGCGAGCTGACACTGTCTGGATTCGACCACTGGCTGTGCTGACTGCACGCTAAGTGGATTCTGTCGAATTGCAGGTGTGATGCAAGAATAGAGAGAAGGAACAGCCATGCAAAAAGATTAGCAGTTGTGTGCTGGTTCGACTTCGCCTTAAGTTAGCAGTTAGCTTTGCGTCCTCGTGACTGTCTCACAGTCTCACAGCCCTGGCATGCTTTACATCAGGTAGTAACATGGCTTCCTCATAGTTTGTGGATGGAAGTGCATGCCAGCTCCGAAGAGACACGGATGGATGGATAACAAAGCGAGGCAGACTTAGATGCCCAGCGTCCGCACTGAAGGGGCCGGTTCGGGGATGTTACGGGCTCGGAATGGGAATTCAGTGCAGAGGTCTAGGCAAGGTTTCGGTGGGATGAGCTCAGGATCTGCGAAACTCTAGGGCAGCTCTCCGAGTGCAATGATTCATGCAGCTTTGCCAAGCAGTGTGGTTGTTTTCTTGGAGAGAGGCTCAGCAGCATGTTGCATGGGCCGAGCGGCCTGTAGGCCAGTCATGCAAATGTCAAAACGAGTCTGCAAACGGGTCAGTTAGTTGCATCCTTCCATGAGTAGCACTTGGTAAAAAGCCCAGAGTGCACGGCAGCATTTCACTGCCATGACAGCGTTGTCAGGATCTTAAAGGTTGGTCCGCGAGGGTAACCGTAGCGAGCATGTTAGCAGCTTACGAGTATCGCCGAGGTCATCAGACTTTGTGGTATGGCGTGACCACGCCCAAGCTCCAGTCCGCCATGGTCTTGCACAGGGCGCAGCAGGTGGCCTTGCAACGCTGGTTGCCAAATTCTACGAGAGGAACTTGTTTTACTCTATCTTGGTTTTCGAGGGAGCCTGTTGTTGCAACGATGGCATCCATGATGGAAGTCAGTTCTTAGTTCCAAGGCCAGCGGCTGGGCAGAATCTCCCCTTCAAGTTCAACAATGACAAGTGTGGTTGCTGCCTTCAGCGGCGTGCCTGTGTTATGTGTGCACAGTGTTTCCGCTCTGCCGCTCTGTTGCTGGATGTATCCCTCGACACTTGTCAGTCATAAGGGTTTCAGTCGCTATGCAACAGATGCTACAGTTTTTGTGCTGAGTTATGTCTGGTTCATACCAACTTGAAAAGCGAAATCCGCAGTTCGCCTGCCACATACTCGTAGCTTTAAGAGGTAGCTACATAAGAACAGAACGATGCCAATAGTCAGTATGTCTACGTGTTTTTTGCCGTTTGGCTATGCATAACGATCTAGGCACATGGCACTTTCGAATGCAGAACACGTTTAATAAAATTCGAACCATGAGTCGTAACAGTCTGCAGTGGTACTACATGAACAACGGTTGGAAAGTCGGTCAACAAAGCTGACGACTCTAGGTCATCGTTCAGATTCAGGACTTCGAGGTATAAAGATCTAGGATGTTGACAACGCGGTTCATGGAGGGAACCGCCTGACGGCTTCGCCGCCCATTTACTGTCTTTCTTGTTGTTTAGCAGATATTTAGTAGTTCCTTCGCGTTTGTCCTTTCGTTTATGCATACATAGTGTGCGCAGACGTAGGTGTGCAAATATTTGTATTCACATACACGCACGTATGTGTCTTTCCTTGGGTTGTAGTGCGTAATTCATGACTTCCTTGTGTGTGCACTTCCCTGCGAGACAATACATTGCGACTTTTCGCTTCATGTCTGTGTGCGTGTGGGTGGGGTGTATCGTGGTTTATCGTCCTGTCACGAAAAAGTACGAGTTACCCTAAAGCTTCTCCGCTGGAGAACTTATAGACTTCGCATGCTGTTGTGGCAACGCAGGGTCTTGCAGAACGGGACAGCCCCGTAATCACGACCCATTACAACCGCAAGTAGCCATCCCGTCCGCTTGCGCAGCCGAATGCATGTGGGGTTGCGAGCCGATCGGTAGTCAATGGAAACTCGCGATGCGAGCTGTCCCCAGTCTTGCACTGCGGCTCACCGTGCAGCACTCCACGCCCAGGACTCTCAAGCGCAGGAAACGGATGCTGACAGGCACTACACTAGACTGGAAGGCAATCGCATCTATCGGGCGCCGTTAGTTGGATTCCTCCGCACCCAAGAATGCGCGGTAGGACACTACATACAGTCCGAAAGCGACTGTTGGTGTCTTGATTTGGTGGAAGAACGCATTCTAGCGCGTCGCCTGTGCCTGAACACTTAGGGCAAAATTTGGCGACTCCTTGCAGCACGGGGCCCCATCCTCCGACCGAGCTAATCAATCCACGCCGCCTCGCTTTCCTTCGTAAGGCCCTAAAGGCTATTTGGGTTATGCATGTCTCCCGGGTTGGCTCCGGCACAAAGTCGGTGTTCTACACGTTCAATCATCTTGAGCCGAGCCATGCAGGGCCGTTGCATACGACAGTATCCTAGTTCGCTTTGCGCGAGCCACCTGCTTTCCACTACCCTGTCAGCACAAGATGGGTCCAACTCAGCATTCAAACTGGGATGCTCGGTTGAGTGCAGATACCAGGAGAATTCCAAAAAGCTCGGGGAGCAAGCCGTAAAGCTTCGAACACTGGCGCAAGCCGGCGCGACTTCAGAAACTACTCGGCCGGTGCTCCGACTGGTAAGACTTAATCGTTTGTTTCGAAAAGTCCCGTGACCCTTGGATCGCAAATACGATGACTACCGCGAATTGCTGAGATGCATCACGCTATAGCCCGCCGCAATCTCGTGAGCTACTTGCGCTGTCCCTCCGCCGCCCCTTGCACGCATGCAAACACACGCAAAACCGAGGCGGCCGCACGTGCTGATCCGTTGTCGCGATGCGCGCGCGTAAGTGCTGCCTCGCTGCTCAAGCTCCCGCTCGGTGTCGAGACTTGCAGGTGAGTATGTTTTCATGAAGCAGGTTTCAAGCATTTCCTGACGCCATGCATCGTAGACCTTGCCAGCTTCGGCTGCAGTGCAAATGTCGACAACATAGCGAACGTTGTTCCTGATTTGAAAAAGCTGTGTCGACCGAATCAGGTGCAGAAAACACAGCACAAATGTGCTCCCATTCAAAGACCCTTTCCTCTTGGCCGATGTTTGCATGTCCCAAGAGCGCATCCTCCATCCAGTTGCACGGTGCTCTTGCGTTACACTGTTGTTGGAATCCTTTTGGACACGAGGCTGTGGTCGCACAACGCAAACGTGTGAACCATCGCTAGTCCCAAACATGTGCTGCCCGAGCACCTCAGCGTCGTTCTGCCAGAGTGCTCGCCTGGCGAGATAATTTTGACGCTACGCCGCCCACCTCGGCTCGCGGGATTTTAGCACTTGCATCAGTTCTTCCGGTGGTTGTCACGGTCATCATGCCTCCGGAGCGATGCGGTCCGCAAGGTTCTGGAAGACATTCATTTGCATTACGTGCTTCTTACAGTTTGCCGCCTGTAAAGCCGGCAAAAGAAGAGCTCGAGTCGTCCAGAGACGTTGAAACTTTGCAACGGGTTTGGGTTTTGGACAGGGGTTGATGCCGAAGGAGCTGGAGATCGGGAGTATCGAGATCGAGATAGAGACCGGTCCCCGACCGTCTGCCCGTGAGTGACCCCTAGAGGCCCTAGTGTCCGCTTAGCTTTTCTTCAAGTCATAATTGTGCTTCTTAGCCCGTTTTGCGGCAAATTCCAGCCCACATGCACCTCGAAAAGACATGTTTGGTCTAAAAGGTTTTTTTTTAAGGCTTCTTGGTCTCCTCCTCTGCTGGCGCCGCTAATGTCGACGGTGACCAGCCTCTCCCCAGTGACGTCCTGTCTTGGACACGCTTCGCCGAAGTTCCACATCTGCCATCCCCGGCCTGCCCATGAGCTGCTCACGTTGATGCATGTTGCTGCACACGGACCTCGTGGGACCGCGGGCGTCCACAAAGGAAAACTAGAAAGGCGTGCAAGAAGCGGTTGGAACCACAGCCTGAGCCGCGCCACGTATTCTCTGACCTCGCCTCGCACCCGCTAAAGCGGGCTCCAGCACCGTGATGATGCAGCCAAACCGAGCCGCTTATCCTTGCGGTCCTTGCGACTTTGACTGCGGTAGATGCAGCAAGGACACAGCAACACCCGTCGAAAAATGTGAGCTAACAACGCCACTGAGCAAAAACACATAGCTGCATAGCAAGGAAGCGTCCGAATATCCACTGCCTTGACTATGCTACGGCATCGGTCCAACGGTCTCGCCACGCATTCTCGAGGACAACCATGGGGCTGTCCGTCGGCATCGCCATGATATCCCGGGTATGCACCGCATCGCCTGTCTGGCAAGGTGATCCGGTGCTGCAATGCCATTTGCATCAGCTCGGGCGCCTCGTCAGTGGGGTCCACCAGCCTTGTCGAGCTGCCCGCCGGCATGGCGGTACGGCGGCAGGGTAGTTCGTGCAGATGCTCGCAGTCTCACACAGGCATGCTTTGGGAGAACGGACCGGAAAGAACTCACTCACTCTCACTCTCACTCTCACTCTCATTCTCACTCTCACTCTCGCTCTCACTCTCGCCCTCGCTCTCGCTGTCACTCTCTCTCACTCTCTCTCACTTTCTCTCACTCTCTTTCACTCTCTTTCACTCTCTTTCACTCTCTTTCGCTCTCTTTTTCTCTCTCTCTCTCTCTCTCTCTCTCTTTCTCTCTCTCTCTCTCTCTCTCTCTCTCGCTCGCTCTCTCCCG